ATAATGTGAGTAATAATAAGAAAATCAGGCACAAACCCAAGAAGTTTTTGGCCATGCCCCCTTATGATAACTTCTTTGAATCTGCTCCCCAATCATTTTCAGAAATCGACACCCATGTTCGGAGCCGCATGAATACTGCCGGCCCACTTGATTTGAAGCGTCACGTTTTCTTCAATTAGTAGTCCAGCTTTCTTCATTTAGTGATGACAACTTCGGCGCAGGTAGTTCGTTTATCAAAATGATTACGTGTATTTACGTATGTAGCAGACTTGTGTACTAAAATCGAAGTGTGAGGCGAAGCACCATACGCAAACCTTTTCTCCGTGCGTCCACACACCAAATCCTCATATAAAGGGCATTGTGTGTCCAGAATACGCTGAATCACTTTAACAGTTCTGTTCTCACAGGGAAAAATTTGGTTGCTATTTGTGTATATAGCTTCATAGCTGGGTCAAGTATCAACGACCATTGTCCCTTTTGCGAATCAGCACGAGTGGTTACTTTTGAGAAGTGATTTTGTGAAGTCATGAAAACTAGTGACACATAAATTGATTGATGAGGATCTGCAGGAGCATGGTGTGAGCATGTCCAAGCTTACATCAATAGTAGTGTTTTTGGTAGGTGTCTCTTGCACACTGCTGAGCTCACTCATTTTGGAACACTTTTTCTGGTGGACTGATCGTTGGAACAAAGCCAGGCTCTTTTCTTCCTCTTGAAGATGAACTTTATCTGCATACTGACGATCTTAGTCCCAATTTCCTTAATCCTGGAACTGAGTTAGCCCCCAAAGACCCTAACCATGATCAAAAGAGTAAGTACATAATACTGCCTGCCACGGGGGGCATTTTTTCAGTTTCCTTCTGTCATCATGTCATGGGCACAATGCTTTTATGATTGATCAGTATGAAGGACAAGGCAATTGAAGTGATAAAATGTAGTCATAAATACCACAAAATTTGAATGTGTGCTTATACTACACATGTTTCAGTAGCATATGTTAGTGATAGTTTAATCTGATTCACTCATTCATGAATAATGAGCATCTGCTACAGCTCCATGTGAAATGCTTTATATTAAGTAATTGTTTTCCTTTTGATGTGCTTGGAACAGCTGCTTCTGCTGGTCTTTCTGCAGAAAACTTCTGCTGTCAAGGTTATGATTGACACTGGTCATGATCCCCTGCTACTGCATGCATTGATTGCATTGGGGCATATGCATAGTTTCTGAGGGTAGTTGGCTAGGAATCCCCAGCTTTTAATTAGTCTCCCCCCAAAATAAGTAGCCACTTCAAAAAGGAAATTGGTCAGTTAAACTCAATTTCTAGTTTAAGTCTAGTTTTGGCCACATTGGGGCATTAGCACCCTCACCCCCACATTTTTGATGATTTGCTGAAACTTTTTAGTGCAGGTTATTTGGTGGTGATGCATGCAAAATTGAGCCAACTGTCACTTGAAATTAGCAGGAGCTCTGTCTCAGTGCAGATGCAATCACTGCAGCCAAAGCAACTTTTGCCTTTCCCCTCGCAGCTAAGAATGCGGAGTATGAGGCCCGCAACACTCTACAAGCTGCAGCCCAGATGTGCCAACTCGGCAAGCTGGAGAAGGCTGGGAAAGCTGTTCGAGCACGCACTGGCACTCAGCCCTCGCCATCCAGATGTGCTGACTGAGTATGGTGAGTTCCTGGAGCTCTCAGACGTGACGCGCGCCAACCATCTGTACACGCGTGCCCTCATCTTCGCGCCGGGCCACCGGCGGGCGCTGCAGAACCGACAGCGGACGCAGCCGCTGGTGGAGCAAAGCGACCTGGAGCTGCTGCGGCGCATCGATCGCAAGCTGCTGGAGCTGGCGAAGGTGCCAGACAGCAGCTCGGCACTGCGCCGCGTCAAAAAGGAAGCCTACTTTCAGCAAATCCACCACACGGTGGGAATCGAGGGCAATACGATGACGCTGGCCGAGACGCGCATGGTCGTTGAGACGCGCATGGCTGTGGGCGGCCGCAGCGTCATGGAGCACAACGAAATCTTGGGACTGGACGCTGCCATCAAGTACATCAACACGACTCTGGTGCACCGGATCGGCGACATCACGCTGGATGACCTGCTGCAGATCCACCGGCGCGTGATGGGTCACGCTGACCACGTTGGCGGCCGGACAGTTGCGCACGACGCAGGTGTACGTCAGCGAACACGTGCCGCCGCCACCCACACGCATCACGCCCCTGCTGGAGGGCTTCATCCAGTGGCTGAACGCGCCGGAGACGGTGGCGCTGCACCCGGTTAAGTACGCGGCGCTGGCGCACTACAAGCTCGTCTTCATTCACCCGTTCTCGGACGGCAACGGACGCACGTCGCGGCTGCTGATGAACCTGATCCTGATGCAGGCCGGCTTCCCGCCGGTTATCATCCGCAAGCAAGACCGTCACATCTATTACCGCTGCTTGCAGCTGGCCAACGAGGGCGACGTGCGGCCGTTTGTGCGCTTCATCGCCGAGTGCGCCGAGAAGACGCTCGACGTCTACGTCTGGGCGACCAGCGAGTACGTGCACAAGATCGCGGCGTCGGAGGCCGAACGCCAGGCGGGCCGCACGCCGCGCCGACGCCGAAGACGCGTTCGTGCGCAACTTCAGCGGCGACGACCTGGTGGGGTTCGGCGCGCCGGTCGCCCACCGCGAGCCGGGCGACACGACGGGGTACTTCAGCGAAGAGGAGGCGGACAGGACTATACATACACCGGAAGATGGGAGCGAGCATGTCATCAGTGTAGAGGAGGTGGACAGGTCGGTTCCGGTGCCGGGTGAGCGCAGTGCTAAGGACGTGGCAGAGGCGGGCAACCGGACGTCTCAGGCGCGACTCGGCCGGACTGCTGGCGTTAGCGTGGAAGGAGTGGAGCAAGCCAGACATTATCTGGAAGGCCAGGGTGATGATGCGGTTGGTGCAGATGGCGAGCGTAGGCCAAAGCACGTATTGGACGGGGAGTGCAATCGGTTTATTGGCGTAGAAGGGGTAGAGAGATCGAACCAGGTGCGGAAAAAACGAAATCGATCGTGACATAGATGTAGAAGACGTGGACAGATGACGGTAGCCTTGGGGGGCAAGCCCACCTGAACCTTAGGAATGCATTGGGTGTTGCCGTTTTAGTGGCTGTGAGGATATATAAGTGCACACTATTTTGCAAGCTGTATGTGCTCACTTTGCAGTATTATTTGATATTGATGTTACGTTTTCTGCGGTGCCGTGATTGTACCTGCTCCGCACGCTGAGAGACGTTCGGCTCACTTCCTGAGCATTGGGTATTGGCATGCTGAGCTCTCTGAGAAAATCTGCCGTATTTCGGAGGTTGGTTCCTGAGATAGACGCGACGACCGTCTTGATCGTGGAGGACGTCGTTGGCGCTCTGACGGAATAATCTTTATCTTGCGACAACTGTACAACTACCAAATATGGACTGTGGGTGTACTTTGGGGCCGTATCATGTCTTTATCCCTAGATGAAGGGGATTGAGTGGTGTAAACCACGAACATGCTGCAGTTTCGGTATGTAGGACGCGATGATTTCGTTTTTGTGAGTTGAACTGTGCCAGTGCTGCTTGTCTCTACATATCCGCAGTTCCAAAAGGGTTTAGGTAGCACTTGCTCTGACGCATAAAAAACGACATGCGATTCGACTACGGCTCAAATGGTGGACGAGTGTGTTTAATAAACCAACTGATACACTTGAAGATTCTTTGGATTTCAACTAAGTGTCGTCCAGCGTACCGCACGTATCGCTGTGAGCTACTGGTCACATCTGAGGCCATGTGGCACAAGTATTCCATTGAGCCTAACTGGCTGCAACAAACAGCTGTCCAGGAGTGTCTATGGGCAGGGACTAAAACACTGACATATGAAGCGGTCGTGCTCATTCTCCGAAACTGCTCCGAAACGAAAGTTCTTGCGTACAGACAACTCGTATCTCAAAAGCTATTGCTCCGACCTTTTCCAAACCTTCGCCATTCGATTGGACATACCTTTTAGTTGCGACGCATGCCATGCAGCCATAGACTATTGTTTTTGTAGTGCATAAGCGTGCGCACATTCTTTACACAATATTTTTGGTCCTACACATTACGGCAAGAACATTTCGACATATTTTGTGCGAAAGGGCAAGGTCTCATCTCCCTTTTTGGTGGGCAGAGGCACACAAAGTACAATGTACAATACATATTCAATTGGGTAATAGGCCCTACAATCGCGCCTTTGGTTGTCGGATCCGGTAGGCCCTTTAGGCTCCTCCGGCCTTTTCGAACACTGCCTCTGGCCGACTCGAGGCCCCTTGACAACACAGAGCCCATGTTAGGCGCTGCGGGGCCCCGAGCAATGTAAATTGTTGGCTCCGGCTTTTCCCCGCTTGGGAAATGGGCCCTTAGGCCCATGCCGCCACGGAGCCGACTGTGGGTTACTGGTGGTGTCTGACTGGAATATAGGTCCTTGTCGACTCAGTGGGCTCCTAATCAGCGGGGACGGCCATCTGGCTGGCATTGAGGTGCCCGCCCCTGCGGGGCGGGGACTATGAATGAAATCTCCAGCTTGCCTTTCGGGCCCCTCTGTGCCCTCAAATCAGGCTCCAAATCGTAGGTTCTGGGGGGCCCTTCGAGCGGCCTCGAAACCTGAGGGGGGACACGTGACCCCTTTGCCCCCTGCCCGCGCTACTGGGGAGTGTCCTACAAGTATTATACCACCACCTTGTACTCAATCGCTTGGGAAAGGTTCCAAAGCGGTCGGGCGTTCGATATCAGAACGAATGTGTTTGCTTCATGTCTGTTGACCTGAAGCCGCCAATTTTATTAAACCCGCATGTCTGCACTGGTTCTTTCAGTTAGCGTCTAGAATTGCAATGTGGGCAGTTCTGGAGCGCCGAGTCCCAGGGTGGGGAAGTTGTATAGTTGGCAGTAAATTAGAGGAGTTTGTCCAACTCTCCGTTGTCTGATTGCATGGCCTTGGTGGACATCGGAGATGCCGTGCTGTGCTTGATGAGTGCGCAGTGATGTCCGTATCGCTTTGTGCATTCCGTTTAGAGGTAACGAACAGTCGTAATCCAATAGATTTCGAGCACTACCTTGGTAAGTCTGTGGGATTTTGTTGAAGTTATAACCAGGCCTTTAGACGCCAAGGCACGTGTAGCTGCTGAAGGGCACCCTAACTGATGCTATCACGGTACGGTCTATTGGGTTGTTTTGATTGAGCGGTTATCTGTACTACCATCGGATGGTCAAAGGGTTGACGAGGGTGATTTTCAAGGTTAAAGGATTTTCAGACTTATTTGTCATCAGAACCAATTAGGTGCCCAATTTTCAGAATACAGAAAGGCACATAGCGCCCGAACATGCAGCAGCAACATCCAGGTCATAATTTCAGTGCATGTATATTATAAATGCCCGCATTCTATGCTCAAGGTTGGTGTATGGTCGGCACCAATTTCACCATGTAGGGAGCCAACCGTCCCAGGAAACGTGATGAGGGGGTGACTGCAGGCAAAAGTGCTTACCAGTTTTTTCACAAAAATTAACATTCCACATCAGTTGACCTGACCTCAGTTTTTCACCCAATGGTTAGCTTCAAGGCAACATATGGATCCAGTTATCATGAGATAAATAGGTCATAGAGATTGTATGTATGAAATATATTTTTAGCTTTATGAACATAAAAGAGAGAGGTGTTACATCTATGATCCAGGCTTAGTGTGGTAGAACATGTGATCAGTTGAATGGAACATAGTTAATGATCACCGTTTAGAAAGATGCAGAAAATAGATAGCAAATATAGCAGTTTTGTGCTCATGTGCTTGTAGGATATACATGGCATGTCTGCACTTGGACTGTTGTAATTTTCAGTTTTAATAAAGCTAAGTGCACTTCTAACTGGTGACTAGGGCATAACCAAGAGTCTGTGGTGTGATATAGAAAGAAACCAATTATCATGCAGCTGACTGTCAACAATCTGTTTCTAAGTGTAAAAACTGTATTATGCCTTCTGTATTGTAAAACCCACAACATATATAGACAACATTACACAAATGTGTACACAGAGCCTTCAGCTGCAGATGCACAGACCCCTCAAGAAAATTAGAATATTCATCATAAAAACTGCTGACTTATCACCTAGTAAGCAATTTGCCAGCTTAGGGTTGAGGTCTCCTCAAACTTTTGCTTCAATTCACAGCCCCGAAGCTGGTAAAGATGGCATCAGGAGGCTCTGCAGGGACCTCAGAGTTGGGCCAGAGTCACCCTGGCCGACAGCGCCGCCAGCACGACAGGCGCGCGCTGGCGCATGTCACTGTGGAGACGGTGGTGCCGCAGCTGGTGGACGCCGCCGCCGGCGCTGCGCGGACGTCCGTCCCGCCGTCCGACGAGCCGGCAGGGTCAGAGTCTGCACGCGCCGACTCGCGGGCGGCGGCCGTCACCGATCCAGCAGCAGCGGCCGTCACCGAGCCGGCAGCAGCGGCCGTCACCGAGCCAGCGGCAGCGGCCGTCCCCGAGCCGGCTACAGCGGCCGTCACCGAGCCGGAGGCGGCGCCGTCACCGAGCCGGCGGCGGCGGCCGTCACCGAGGCGGCGGCGGCGGCCGTCACCGAGGCGGCGGCGGCGGCCGTCACCGAGCCGGCGGCGGCGGCCGTCACCGAGGCGGCGGCGGCGGCCGTCACCGAGGCGGCTGCGCTCTGCTGGGACCGCGATCGCGAGCCGCCCGACGGTGACGTGGTGATCGGGCCGTCCGGCAAGGCCGTCTCGTATGCCGACCTGGTCAAGTCGGGCCGCGAGCCGTCGCTGCCGCTGCGGCCCAGCAAGGAGGGCACGCCGTCTGATGAGGCGTCGCTGGACCAGAAGCCGTTTATCTCGGGAAACCCGTTCGTCGAGGTCACCAAGGGCCTGCTGCACCTCTACAAGGAAAAGTGAGAATGGTGGAGCACAGGAAGCTAGACTCGTTTTTGAGCTAGGGGGGGGGGGGAGTGAAAAGGTCCATCTCAAATAGACCGTGCAGGGGTGGAAATTTAAGTTCCAAACAATGGAACTTATGAGTCAGTGAGGGCTGCTCCAGCAAAGAAAGACATGAATTTTAAGTTGGCATGGTCATAATATCTTAAATATCAAAAACAATTTCACATCTTTGGCCATTACACTGAAGCAGAATACATTAAGACACAGTCATTTCATAAAAGTGTGATGAGCACCCAAAACTATGTAACAACTATGTTTTGATGCTACATTTTGGATATCTCTTCCACAGGATTTTGTTAACATAAAGCAAAGCAAAGGAATCAACAGCAAAAACAAAACAAAACAATCAATAAGCATAACACATTCAAGCAAAGGAAGTCTTGGACTTCTGCACATTGACACATCAGCAAATCAAACAAACAACATACATACTTTTGGCCTCTGTTAAGATAGGGCCAAAAAGTGCAAATGTTCATTGATCAATAGATCAGTAATCACACCTCTACAGAGCAGAAAGGACACTACTAGCTTGAATGGTGCCTGTACATTCCAGAATGGATCCTCCACAGTTGATAATAGGCCTTCTTCAATCATAATGTCCATCTGAAGGCCAGAATGTGCCATCTAAAGGCAAGCATGGGCTTTCTACAGGCAAGAATGGCCCTCTAGTCAATAATGGGCTATTAACAGATCAGAATGGTCCCCTCAAGTCAATCTTCAGGTCGGAAGAGGCCCCTCTACAGGCTCAGAATTGCCCTCTTTTGGTCACAATGGATGATAAATAGGCCAGAATGAACCCTCAGTGGGCCAGAATGGACTTTTAAAAGCTTACATAATCCTTTTCTGGCTTAACATGGGCCCTCCATGGGCACTCCAAATAAAGGGAGGGGGACACGGCCCCCCAGCTTTCAATTGGGGGTGGGGAGGAGGGACTGCCCCACCGCTCCTTGTTCGGTTCCTGTGTCTTTTTGTTAAGTCGAAGTGTACCATAAGCTCGTTCTTGTGTCGCCCCTGATAAGGGCCGTAAGAATGCTATGTGCTTAACGGACATGTTGCCTGGTTTTGAACAGCTTCATGGGGCATGTACAGTGATGATCAATGGGTGACAGAGGGCCGTATGCTCCAGCGAACTATTTGGCATGCAAACCACAGCCGGAAGCTTGCCACATATATATGCATAGCGCTGGAACTTTTGAGGCTGATTGCGCAAGAATGCGTTCGAGAGCAGTCGCTCGAAGCCCTATCTCACTTCTGAACCGCTTGTGGCCAGCAGCATATTGCATAAAGAGGTGGTTTCCTTGAGTACGTTAAATTTTCTCCCTCCGATCAAGGTGATTTCCCAATTTTCGAAACTTGTCTCGGTTTTTAAGATTCTGCTTACTGGGGGAATCCTGGTTATGAGGCGCTTTCAGGAACTGAGTTCAGGTTGAGGACCACAATGTGGTCTTAAACTTTTATTTACTCATAGTAAAATGGTCTTCAACCTGTATCCTCACATGTTGGTTGAAAAATAAAAAAATACGTTGTTCAACCTATATTTTCATCATGTATAGGATGAAAGGATGTATAGGCACTAGGTTGGTATATGATTTAATGCTTTAATGAACTATTGGGCGTCTTGAGATCACTCATAACCCCCTTCAGGAATGCCAGATGCGCAGGGACGATCCCTCTCGTCAGGCTGGCATTGCCACGCTAGGCCCTTGGCGATGTGTTAAACTAATGACACCGAAAAGGAAAGAAGAAACTGAACGCCGAGCGTGCTTGGAGAATGTCGCGCCCGCCTCTGCTCCTGGGGCCACACCGGCGGTGTTCGCGTTGCAGCGCGATGACCAGTCTGGAGGAGGGCACGGAGAGATCGGAGATGATCTGCATGATGTCGGTGCCGGCGAAGATGGTGATCCACGACCTGCTCCAGTTCACGGCCCCCTGCTACCCGGACATCGAGCGCATGCGCATCATCCGGGACAGCACGCCCAACCAGTACATGGCACTCATCAAATTCCGCCATCAGGTATCGACATTTTATTCATTTATTTGGTATCCACTCATTCATCTAAACATTCAACGTGTGCTCCTTCATCATCGACGTTCAGGGACGGGGGCAGTAGGTAGGGTTACTCACACAGAAAGTGGCCTGGCGGGCGGCCTTTTTCGCGAAAAAAGCCCGTTATGGCAGTGTCGCAGCCATACGTGGCATTACATGCAAAATAGCGCCCAGTACTCTGCTTTGTATTTACAGCAAAATCCACACCGAGATTGTAGGTGAAAAACGTGGTGTCTGCCTGGCACTCGTCGGGCCACACCCCATTGAGTTTTGCTCAGAATGCGACACCATGGTGGCCGCCGTGCACCTGGTCCCTAAGCAGTGCACGCTGGGTGCCATGGAGCAGGGGAGGCTGTTATCGCTTCCATGTCTTCAGTAGTATCGTGTTTCTTCGAACTCCTAATTTTGGCGTGTGTACCGAGCAGTTTTTACCGGCAACATTTAATCAGGTGCATTATAGTATAGTGCATCCTGTAACTAGTAAGGGGGGAGAGGGGCACCTCCCAGGGGCTACTCACACGCACGCCCCAATGCTGGGCGAGCCTCCTCCCTCTACCTGTGCTGTGTTGTGTCGCTCGTCGGGTCCCTAATTAAGGAAGATATGTGAAGTAAATTAACAGACCTATTGCAAGAGGAAGTGAACGCCATATGGCTGTAAGGTTTATATTTTTATTTGAGCATGATTTACAAGCGCACCTGATCGTAACGTTTCACTGTCCAAAACCTCTTCTCTCTGCCTTGTTACGCTTCCGCTTCATCCCACCAAAGCCGTTTCCTCCCCGTCATGCGAAACGTAATTTATGGACGATCCCTAAGGTGCATAGCATAAACAGGCTTCTGGGGGGGGGGAGGGGGGGGAGGAGGGGGAGGGGGACCCTGGTTGCGCCCTTGGCTGTGTGGTTTTTGGCACTCTGTGAATGGCTGTTAAAGACAGGTATTCCAACACTATTTATGATGGGTCAGTTATGCGAAGAAAGTCGCAAGATTCATTGCGATTGTTATGAAATATTTTGTCTTACCACTGTGATAAGATGATATTTCAACCAGCTTGTTTGTTTTAAACACGAGTTTTCATGTTATCCGCTATCTCTTCCTCAGCCGTGGTCAGCCAAACGGCCGTCTGACATTACGGCCTGGCGCGCCAAGGGCTGTCTGTCAAACATTGTCTCACTAAGGCTGGATACCGTGGTCAGCTACATGGCTGCCTGGCATTGACGGCCTGGTGCGCTAAGGACTGTCTGTCAAACATTTGTTCACCAAGGCTGAATACCGTGGTCAGCCAAATGGGTGCCTGACATTGACGGCCTGGTGCGCCAAGGGCTGTCTGTCAAACATTGCCTTTCCAAGGCTGGATACCGTGGTCAGCCAAATGGCTGCCTGATATTGACGGCCTGGTGCGCTAAAGGCTGTCTGTCAAACATTGTCTCATCAAGGCTGAATAAAGGGTAGCGGTTATCCCAATAGCTATGTTTTTGACATTGACCATGTCCCATCTCATTGATATGGTCAAAGACGTACTCTTACCACCGTTATTTGCAATTTCCGTTGTGATTTGTATGCAGACTAATGACAACATGGGCGAGTATTGGCACCTTGGTAGCGGGGATGCAGGTCTCCGTGAAAATTATGCAGAGATGTAGTAGGGCCAGTGATAAATCCGGACGTCTTTCTAAATTTATTGGCAGCAAAGAACTAGAAATTATACAAAGGAATAGAGTTTGGCGCTTGTTAACCTCATACAAAATATCTTTCGTCCCTAAGTTTCCTGTTTTCCAAAACAAAAGCTAGATTAGCGACGTGCGACCCGCGCCACCGCCGCGCGGCTCCTCCGGCTGTCAACGCCTGTGTTGCTCGCGACCGTCCCCAGTTTTATGGGTAGTTTGCGGGGGCGTGGATAGAGGCTAACAGGGGACGCAGAGTCGTTGAGTATCGAAGTGTTGGAAATGGAGTGTACCATTCAGTTCCTTCAAGTCTGTGACTCAGTGATGTCATTCATCGCAGTCAGGTCGCGATCCGGTGAAGAGCGCAGTGTTGAAACTGGGCCACAAGGAGCGTCACGTCTGCTAGTCTCGGCGCGTAGTGCTGGTCGGGCGCAGCCCATTCAGTGCAATGCTTCTCCGCTGATCGGCTGCTCCGGCGTCCACCAGGATACTCTCGCCGTAGTCACAGGTGTGCGACCGCGGCAGAGGTGCGGTCCTAATTCGATACCCTCTGTGTCTCCGACCGGCGCCCTGCCCCATCAGGCCGCGGCTGACGAGTTCTACCGCAACTTCAACGGCGTGCGGTACAACAGCATGGAACCGGAGACGTGTCGGCTGGTGTACGTGTCCCGGGTGGACCTAGTCAACGAGTCGGACGAGGCGCGTCTGCCCATCCCAGGTATGTCGCTGGTCGGTCACTCGCAGCTGCCCGCATAAGGGAGGGAGGGTGGGGGCGAGCGAGGGAGCGAGGAAGGGAAACGGAGAGTATTTGGGCGACCGGCCGTGGAGGAAGGGTGTGACTTCGATTTTTTTGCCACCTCAGTGACACTGATTTTCGGCATTTTCGCCTACCGCGTCAGTTGTGATTTTTGCATCGGTGGTGCTTTTAGGACATCAATAACGCTAGATATGAGTGTTATGGCGTGACACTCCGGGTGAGCGCATCTGCCGACGGTTGTCGGACGGTACAACGAGGACGCTTTATGGAAGGGTTCACGGAGCTGCCCACCGTGCCCGGTTGTTTGGCAGGGTTCACGGAGCTGCCCACGTGCCCGGTTGTTTGGCAGGGTTCACGGAGCTGCCCACGTGCCCGGTCTGCCTGGAGCGGATGGATGAATCGGTCAACGGCATCCTGACTGTCCTCTGCAACCACTCATTTCACGGGAGCTGTCTGAGTCAGTGGGGCGACACCAGGTGAGTCGGAGTCGGATCTCGCCGCTCTAGCCGCTGTTTGTTGATGATTGAGCGCCTCTTTTGGAGCTTTGTTCTGGGAGAGATCGTTGATATTGTGGTGTGGTTGCCGAACAAGCGTTCGTTGCTTGGTCCGTTCCATGTCTTTCGACGCTATAAGTGCTTACTTTATTTCGCTTTGTTTCATCTCCCGTCTTCTTTTTAGACGTAAGTTGAATGTTTCTTTGTCGGCTTGAATCAATATTGTTTGTATGTGCTCACTCATGTGTCTGGAAGTATATTAACATGTGTTGCTGTCATTTGCCTGTACCACTCTGCCATACAGCGCCATCTAGACGCTTTTGTTCTTCTCGTTTGTATCCCAAATATGGCGTGAGGTCAGGCACACAATGAACACCTGATCTGTGTTTGCCGTAAACCATGAACTTGCCACCCACGGCACCCGATTTACTGTTTGGTGGACCGGAAGTGTGTGTGGGTTCGTATTACGTGGTCCAGTCACGGTGTTTGGTGGGCTGGTAGTGTGTGTGGGTTCGTGTTGCGTGGTCCAGTCACGGTGTTTGGTCGGCCCGTAGTGTGTGTGGGTTCATGTTGTGTGGTCCAGTCACGGTGTTTGGTGGGCCCGTAGTGTGCGTTGGCTCGTGTTGTGTGGTCCAGTCACGGTGTTTGGTGGCTGGTAGTGTGCTTTGGCTCGTGTTGTGTGGTCCAGTCACGGTGTTTGGTGGGCTGGTAGTGTGTGTGGTTTCGTGTTTTGTGGTCCAGTCACGGTGTTTGGTGGGCTGGTAGTGTGCGTTGGCTCGTGTTGTGTGGTCCAGTCACGGTGTTTGGTGGGCCCGTAGTGTGTGTGGGTTCCTGTTTTGTGGTCCAGTCACGGTGTTTGGTGGGCTGGTAGTGTGTGTGGGTCCGTGCTTTGTGGTCCAGTCACGGTGTTTGGTGGGCCCGTAGTGTGTGTGGGTTCGTGTTGTGTGGTCCAGTCACGGTGTTTGGTGGGCCCGTAGTGTGTGTGGGTTCGTGTTGTGTGGTCCGGTGACCGTGCCATGCGCTGGGTGTGGCTGTGGCCCGGTCGCCGTCTCATCTGACGGACCACACAGTGTGTGAGTGAGGGGTTTGTGCGGCTGGGACGCGCTGCGCACGGTTCTGGCGGTGACGGTGGCTTCCTTCCCCGCCAGCTGTCCCGTCTGCCGGTACGTGCAGACCCCGGAGGAGGCCGAGGACAACTTCTGCTTCGAGTGCCAGGCCAGCGACAGTCTGTGGATCTGCCTGATCTGCGGCCACGTCGGCTGCGGCAGATACGTCGGCGGCCACGCCTACAGGTTCGGCAGATCGCGCCGCCTGACCCGCTGTCAGCTGACCGGCGTTACCCGTGCTGCTGTCAGCTGACCGGTGCCGCCTGCCCCACTGTCAGCTGACCGGTGCCGCCTGCCCCGCTGCCAGCCGACCGGCGCCGCCTGCCCCACTGTCAGCTGGCACGTGGCGCCGCATGCCTCGCTGTCAGCCGACCGGCGCCGCCTGCCCCACTGTCAGCTGACCGGTGCCGCCTGCCGCGCTGTCAGCTGACCGGTGCCGCCTGCCCCACTGTCAGCTGGCACGTGGCGCCGCATACCTCGCTGTCAGCTGACTGGCGCCGCCTGCCCCGCTGTCAGCCGACTGGCGCCGCCTGCCCCACTGTCAGCTGGCACGTGGCGCCGCATGCCTCGCTGTCAGCTGACTGGCGCCGCCTGCCCCGCTGTCAGCTAGCACGTGGCGCGGTTCAAGCCGTCGGCGATGTCACTAAGTTATTGCCCCTGTCTTCGGGGCAGGGCCAGTGGAATGGACGATGCGCGGGATTCGAACCCAGACCGTCGCGGACTGCGGCAAGTTGTTGCAGCCCGTGGTCCATTGCAAGGTTTTGATAGCATGCAACCTCAACGATTTGTTCGATTGTCTGAGAACATTGCCTTGACTTGTCGTTGGCAGTCACTTCTTGGACACGGGTCATACGTACACGATGCGTGTGGGGAGCACGCGCGTTTGGGACTACGTGGGCGACAACTTTGTCCACCGGCTGGTGCAGAACAACGACGACGGCAAGATGGTGGAGGTGGACGACAACGGTCACGGGCGTCACGACTCCAAACACGTGAGCCCCTGCCGCACTACTGCCCTGCTGCAGACAGGGTCACGGGGCATCAGTGACCTCAATCATGATCTTTTGTGCTTCCTCTTCGTCATGCTACTGAACATTGAATCCGCTTCCGGCCTTTCTCTTTTCTGCACTCATATGTAACGTATGCGACGTTTGGCGGCTTTACTGCCGCGATGTTGGCATCATTGCCTGTGCCAATAGTCTGTTTCCCCGCTGTGTGCTGCACAGAAAAATGGCCGAGGTGCGTTGTCCTGCCGCTGATTGTCGCACGGCTGACCGCTTCTAACCGCCGCTGACCCCCACGGACTGCTGCTGACACGCTTCTGACCCGCCGCTGATCGTTGCCACCGCCACTGACCGCCGCTGACCGCCGCTGACCGACGCTGACGCCACTGACCGCGCTGATCGCTGCTGACCGCCTCTGACCACCTCTGACCGCCACTGACTGCCTCTGACCGCCGCTGATCGTTGCCACCTCTGACCGCCACTGACCGCCGCTGACCGCCGCTGATGGCCTGACCGCCGCTGACCGCCGCTGACTGCCGCTGACCGCCTCTGACCGCCTTGACCGCCGCTGACGGTCACTGACCGCCGCCGATCGCTGCTGACCGCCTCTGACCGCCTGACCGCCGCTGACGGTCACTGACCGCTGCTGATCGCTGCTGACCGCCTCTGACCGCCGCTGACCGCCGCTGACCGCCGCTGACCGCCGCTGACGGCCACTGACCGCCGCTGACCGCCGCTGACTGCCGCTGACTGCCTCTTACCGCTGCTGACCGCCGCTGACCGCCGCTGACCGCCACTGACCGCTGACCGCCTCTGACCGCCGCTGACTGCCGCTGACTGCCTGACTGCCGCTGACTGCCGCTGACTGCCGCTGACTGCCTCTTACCGCTGCTGACCGCCGCTACCGCCACTGACCCTGACGGCGGCTGACCGCCTCTGACCGCAGGGCGGCGACTCGGAGGAGAAGCTGGAGGGTATCCAGCTGGAGTACACGTACCTGCTGACCAGTCAGCTGCAGTCGCAGCGCCAGTACTACGAGGAGTGCATCGCACGCATCGAGAAGGACGGCCAGAAGCAGGCGGAGGAGCTGCGCGAGCGCACGCGCCAGGCTGTGGAGGAGACGCACACGCTGCGGGAGCGACTGCAGCAGGCCGGGCGGGAGCGCACCGCCGCCGACAAGAAGGTACGCAGGTGGCTGCGCCGCCGCGGGCGGACGTCAGGGCACGGCCGCAGGTCAGCCACAGGGCGCCGCATTTGAAAGACAATGTGCGTGGGGATGGCACCCTTTTCAGCCGACGCATCGCAAATGGGACTCGCGTTTTGGTTAACGACTTCTTCTAATGTGCAGCACATTGTATGTTTCATCTGCTGAGAAAGTCTTCGAGTTTTCCATTTCCATACGTCCGTGATTGAACCTTTATGCTGAAATACTTGCCTCGTGGCATGCATCTGCTTGCGAGGGTAAAATTCAGCGTTGCTCTGTTTGATTTGGTTTCATCGAAGTGTATGCTGTAGACATTGTTTTTGACTATAACAATGTATTTCAGATGCGTAATTAACTAAATTGGACAGAGTGCACTCAAGACGCGTAATATTACGGTTCGAATAAGCATTAACCGTCCACTAGAGTCGTGTCGAGTTTCGTTGGAACAGAATGGCCGGCAAGTGTGCCGGTTCAGTGCGCCGTTATGCTTTTGATCCATTATACCAGCGGAAAATCAAACCCCGTGTCAGAGCGGACCTCTCTATATGTGAAGCTCCCGTGTGCAGGGTACTGGCGACCGTGTTATAGTTATCAGTCCCGGTCACTTCGCGTTATCCATACTTGCACTTGTCCAATATTTCCACAGTTTCTAGAAATGTTCTGCATCGTTCTTAAGATGTTCACTTCCAGGGACGTAGGCACTGATAACGAGAACAGTTCCTCAAGCTGAACCATCAACAGAAATAAATGTCGTAGTCTCTTTCCAAAATAAGGTCCTGGCAATCCCACTCCGGGCTGCGTTCTTTTTTTCGAACTGCGCTGTCATTCTTGGAACTGCAAATGTGACGCGTCGAGAAAAACCACCAACCGACCGCTGGCTCCGGTTGTCCGGTACAAAAACTCACGTCATGGCCCGGGCTTGCCGTCCTAGCCGTCCGTAGCCGTCTGTAAACCTAGCCGTCCGAAGGGAGCGAGCCGGGCCAAAGTCAACCTTTTTGGGACGCAGGCTGCCTCGTGTTTCATGTCATATGCGCCAGCTACCGAAGC